CTGCAGCTGTTGCGCTGCTCTGCCGACATTCCCAGGCTCCCCCTCTGTGCCCGGCGCTGGGAGGCGCTGGGAGGCGCAGACCGGAGAGGACCTGGGTGGCTCCCCGGGGGCAGGGATGCCCTGGTGTTCCCTAGATCAGGCTGTGGGACGATACAGGCCTCCGTGGACAATCCTGCCTTATCAGTGGGGTGACTTTGGGTTATTCCTTCCGTGTTCTCTGAGCCTGTTTGCTCATTGGGAAGAGGGACATCAGATACCTCCCTGTGTAGGATTACTGTAAGAAGTAAACACAGAAGGTGTTTATAAAGGTTCTAGGACTCACTAAGTGGCACTTAAAATTTTCTCCTTTCTTTAAAACAGATTTATCATAGAATCCCCAGCTCAGACCCATCTTCTGGCAAAACAAGGCAGATCATCTCCACCATCAGGACACAGAATCTTCCCAATTGTCAGCTGATCTCCCGAAGTCACTACTCCCCTATTTACCTGTCATTTGTCATGCTCTTGGCTGCCCTGAGCTGGCAGTACCTGAGCACCCTGTCCCAGGTCACAGAAGACTATGTTCAGACCGGAGAGCACTGACTGGGTACTCGTCTGGAAGCTCAAGTTCACCCTAAAATGGATTGGCCTTTTCTTCAAGAAAAAGGATATTGGTACCCCTCTCCCCCCGTTTTTCCCTCCCTCTTTAATCCCTGAAAGAACTCTGTGGACTTGGGACTTTTAGAAACTGTGACATGCAGTCAAGAAGCTAAGAATAAAAGGGAAGGCTACCTCACCCTTGGCAAGCAGGCCCTTGCGGGCGGTGCTCACGTCTGCGCGCCATGGCTAGCAGCAGAGGGCCGCCCACGGCAGGTCAGGGGACATGGTGGCATATGGGGCTGCTGACAGGTCTTAGTGTGAATCCTGGCTAGAATTCTAATTAAATGTATTTAATTTGAAGCAACCTTGGAATACATGTCCTTGTACAAAGCGAAGTGAATTTTCTCCCTTGGGTTCCCCTTTTTCTCATCATTTCGTTTTATTCAGTTGGTTTGAATGTAGTAGACGTCCGTGTTTTTGGGTCTAGGCAACAGCCCCAGGTTTTCTAAGAAGGCAGACTGTCTTCTGCCCACGAAGGCTAAGGACTGACTTCTGGGGGTTCTGGAATCGCTTCCTGGTTTAAAAGGAGGTTAGCTTTCAGAAAGAAACTGCGGGATTGCTTTGGGCCCCATCGTGGAAGACTGGCCTCCAGTTAAGGCTGACTTTTTAAGAAGACATCATATATAAAGATGTGTTTATAATGAAGAACTGAATTACTTTGCATCTGTCCAGGGCAGCTCATTTGAAAGCCTGGACGAGCACGGCAAATAGGAACGCAAGAATGTGGAGTCAGTGATGGAGGGACAGACGGCCGTCTGCGGCCCCCGCAGAGCCAGCCAGAGCAGGACCAAGAAGAAGGACCCAACTGCCTGGGCCCTGCACGGCTGTGCCTGCTGGAAATGAGCATGCGGCAGCCTCGCGTCCCTGGCCAGCTTGGGACCTGCACTCCCTCTACCAGCCTGCTGTCCCCTTGGCTGACTCTTAGCTGCATGCAGAAATGTTACTATGTCCAGGATTTTTGTGGGGGTTTTTGTCTTTTGTTTCTTTCTTTTTTTTTTTTAAATCACCAGTTTATACATGGAAGCCTCGAGAAAGGCAAAATGTGTTTTCAGGTGATGGGCTGGAAAGCCAAAGAGCATTTAGCCTCCTTCTTCTAGCATCGCTGTCTGCCTTGAGCCCCGCACAGGCCGGGGGTGTGAGGCACGCTCACCCAGGACCTTACTGCGAAGCAAGGCCTGGGCCGGGGAGGACACGGCCCCTCTCGGAGGGTGTTTGAAAAAGCCCCTCAAGCTGAGGAATCACTGTTGTGGGGCATGAAAGTACTTTCTAGAAGCCGTTCATACCCTCGAAGTATATAGCCTACTCCTCTGCCGCAGTCCTTTGTGTGCGGTGACGTAATCATCGAAGCTGAGGGTTTTCCCCGGCAGGACTGCTGGCCTCGCGTTGTTACACACGTACTCACACTGCTGTCCCTTCGTGTCCCCGGCTGCCACCGGACACAGTGGCTTCGTTTCGGTCCATGGAAGCTGCGGTGAATTGGTTCATCTGAGGGTCGGTCCTGGGCAAACTTGTCACCACGCTGAAGCCAGGCATTTGCCACACGGGATACAGCTCTGAGCCGGGCTCCCCAGGAATTTTCCTAGTAATTTAAGCATCAGAACTTGGTTTAAGATTCCAGGGTGGGTTGTCAGAAATTTGTGTGCTGAAATGCCGGATGAGTTCCGTAACAACCCGTGTAGGACAGAGAACAACCTGGTGGAAATCGTGGTCTGGGGTGGGTGGACTGGGAGGTTCTTTCCTGGCTCAGTCATGACCTGTGGGACTTTCTGAGCTTCTGTTATGGTTTAGCAGATCTCCCAGGCCCCTCCCAGCCATAGAGTTATGTAACTTTTACTGTCACGGACTATTGCAAAGTCTTAGCTCTTGGGCCCACTCCTAAGTGCTTTGGAAGATCATTTTCCTTCTAAATATAGTTCTCTATTAAAATTGCCAGATAAAATACAGGATGCCCAGTTAAACTAGAATTTGACACACTAGTTTTGTTTTGGTTTAGTATAATTATGTCCCAAATATTATTGCACAGGACATATTTTTACTAAAAAATTACTTGCTCTGAAATTCAAATCTGATTGAACATCCTTTGTTTTTGTTTTTTTTAAAGATTTTATTTATTTGAGACACAGAGACACAGAGAGAGATAGAGCATGAGGAGGGGGAGTGGGAGAGGGAGAAGCAGACTCCCTGCTGAGCCAGGAGCCCAATGCGGGGCTCAATCCCAGGGCCCTGGAATCATGACCTGAGCCGAAGGCAGGCGCTTAACCATCTGGGCCACCCAGGCGCCGCAACATCCTTTGTTTTTGTTAAATCTGCCAACCCCACCCTCCGCTCCACACTTTAATTAATCAGATGTATAGGATCTCTGGCCTAAGGTCTACTTGAGTTCTACTTACAGGGGAATATTTGAGCTTTTCCTCAGAGGAGTATCTGACCCATCTGAATCTAGGGCTCTAAATTTAAAGAACTCCCTTACAACAGACAGGAGCAAGAGTCTGATCTCCACACTTTGGGAGCTCCTAGAGCTCCAGATACACATGCACACCCATCTCCCTTTGGGAAAGCGCTTGGAGCAATTACCTGGAAAGCCCCATTCTGTCGGAACCCTTTCCCTGGGGCTGGCGTGCACATGTGTGTAGGGGGAGGAAGGGGGTTAGCCATTTGTTAATTAGTCTTAGCAGTTTGGGAAGCAAAGCTCTAAAGCCATGGTTCTCAAACTTCAGCATCTGAATTGCCTGAAGGTCCCAGATTGCTAGGACCATTTGTCTCTCAGGTCTTGGGGAGTAGCCCCCAAACTGGCATCTTTAACAAGTTCTCAGGTGATACACATGCTGCTGGTCAGGAGCCCAGTTTGAGAACCGCTGCTCTAAGGTCTTATTTTTCAGACTCTAATGAACATATGAATCAGCAGGAGTCTTGTTAAATTGCAAGGACAGATTCAGAGTTCTGGCCCAAGTTCCGCATTTCTAACAAACTGCCAGGTGACGGCCACGCTTTTGGTCTGAAGCATAGCTATCCGACGCATTTTTTTTTCTTTTGATTTTATTTGACAGAGAGAGAGAGACACAGCGAGAGAGGGTATCCGACGCATTTTAAAAGTGGAAAAGGTTCAACTATGTGCGCAGACTTCTGAGTCTAAACTAAACCCACACCCTCCTCTGGGTAATGAACAAAAAGGCATGGTCCCTTCCATCGCTCACCTTGTTCGGACAGGCACCCGAGAGAAGCGTACCACTTGTTGAACTGAGGTGACAGGGTGATCAATGAGGTAATTTGAGGTTTATTTAAGTATTGACATTGATCCCAACCCTAAATAAACATGGCTGGTTTTGTTTTCTAACAGACTCCTTAAGCCAAGCGTGCAGATGCCCTGCATTTCATCTGGGTCCTTGCCGTATTGCATCTCCACCGGCTTCCCGGCTGAGTGCGGAGCTGCGGGTGGGCGCAGGGTGGGCACAGGACGGGCACAGGATGGACGTGGGATCATCCGATTGCGTTTGGGGCAGGTCGAATTTGTCAGAACTACATTGAGGTTATGAATGTCTTCCAAATGAAATTTGAGGAATAAAGTAATTGCAAAGTTTGGCTTTGGTAACCTTTGTTAAACGCTTAAATATTATGTCAGGTGTCACAGATTTTTAAGTTTTTCATTTAATTCCGGCTTTCACAAATTTTCCCTTCCATATTCAGCAGGTGTTTAAGAGCTTATCTGATAAGGCACTTCCTGATCCCTAACTTCTAATTTCCATTGGAAGTCAAACTTCCCATGCTTCTAGAACTAGTTCAGCCCTCAGCTGGGAAAGAAGTCAGGTACTGACGGGCCAGTGGGATGGGGGGCAATTCTTTTAGTTTCCTGTTCCCTCCAACACTAGTGTACTTCACTGCTTGGGATTCTTAACCGGGACTATGCAAAGCAACAGTTCTTAACCGGCAACGTGACCCAGACACAGAGGGGACTTAGACTAGGACACACAGGCTGCTTCCACCCCGTCCCAAACATCAGCAGCGACCAGGGCGACCTGGCCCTCCGCTGGGACAAATGGCTTCCGGTGTCACCCCCCACGCCACTCCTGTGTGACCCCCCACGCGGGTTGCTGCTGGCTTGCAGCTGGTATGAAACGGACTACAACTATGTTCCTAGCTCTTGAAATTGAGCAGGGGTGCAGCTCGTCGGGCTTGAGACACAGTGTAGGGGATGCAGTTACAGAGCAGGGTTGATGAAAGTGACAGGGAACTAAGAGAGAAACCATGGTTTGAGGCAAGAGTTCCCTGGTTCGAGTTTCAAGGACACCCGGATCCAGGAAAACAGGATTCTGTCGGGTAAGGACGGACGGACCGTGGCATCCCACCAGAACACAGACTTCACGTTGAGGGAGAAAATGTTTTATTGGCACAGTCATTCCTTTCCTGGTTAAATTAACAGAGTGAAGCAGTGATCTTTACAGGGGTAAAGCTGGTTTCTCCCGAATGAGTTTCACTGTATTAGGCTGGGAGGCCGATCGGGTCGTGACCACCTGGTGGTGGGGGAGGGAGACATGGTCTGTGAAGCGAGGACAGATCCTCCAACTGTTCTCTCATTCACATGATCAGCTGAGGTGCACACAAAATGAAACACCTAAAAAGGAACCATGCCAAGGGCATGACCAGAGAGGGTCTTTGCAGCAACACCGCAAAGCTCAAGAGATGCAGGGGCCTTTGGAGAACGGGTTTCCCCCAAGGGCCGCCCCACGGGTTTTCTTTTCAACCTAGTCCACAGCTAGCGAGCTACTTGCTTACAAGTACTGCCACTGGTGGGGACTGGTCTTGTTAGGGACTCCACTTTCTATTCCTCTGGAACGCCTAACAAACCCTCTAGGTCTCGGTCTGGCTTCCCGGTGTGCGCGGAAGGGGGGAGGATGCGCTGGGGTGCGGGCACTAGTCTGGGGGGCGGGGGGTGGAAGGCCTCGCTTTGCTTGTGAGGGTGGCTCACGTCGTCTAAGTGTGCCCTGGGACTGCGGTCCACCCAGCAGGCTGGGAGGTAGCCAGGCCTTGGACATGTCTCCTTGGAAGACGGTTCTGATGGTAGATGCGAGGTTTGGCCCAATCCTTCAGGTCCTGTCTAAAACCTCTTATACCTTATCTCAACTCGAAAGGATAAAAGACATGCCTCCCCATCTCCTCCTCCCCATCTCCTCAACTGGCTATATTTAGGGAAACACTGCCCCAGGGCTGGCAGGACCAGCCCCACAGCAGATTAGATCTTTTTCCAGTACTGGTCAGTGCATGGGACTCCCGCCACAATTTCTGATTCAATTCCACAGTGATCCCGTCCTCTGAGGATTTTAAAGAAGCCTGGAAAGCAAAAATAGGCCTTTAGAGTGTGCTCAGTTTTGACCCTTGCCAAGGTACTCACACTCACAACAGAAAGACTTAGGAGCAGAAGACACCAGCCTAGCCCCAAAGCAGTCAGCAAACCAACCCCAAGGTTGGTTCCTCTCCTGTTTGCCCAGTAGCCTGGCTCCACGTCACGAGGCCTCTAGACCCCACTTCCATTTGACCCACATAAGCAAGCACTGCACCCGGGGCGTGGGGAAGCGTGAGGGACAAGCGACCCGAAGCCACGTCCTGATCCCTACCACCCTCTCTCGGCATCAGCATCTGCCTTCATGGCAAGGGAACCCCCAGGAGGTCACTGCTGAGCCCCAGGCCCAGCGTCTGGAGCAGAGCAGGACAAGATGACCACTCCGTCCCGGCTCACACGCCCTGTGAGCAGGCAGCGGGCCGCCACTCACCATTGTCGCCCCAGTCCGTGTTCCACGAGTTGCCAACCAGCCAGTAGGGCGTGCCATTCTCCACTCCCCAGCCCAGGATGCGGACAGCGTGGCCTCCCATCATTTCTCCAGTGACGTGCTGGTACACTCCTGAGAAAGGGACGGCCCGTTCAGGCAGAGCGGTCCCAGAGCATCGCTCCAACTCAGCTGGCTCCCCGGGCCCACCAAGCCCTCCCAAACAAGGTTACACAGAGAGCGCGCGGACGTTCTCTCAGAGGGCTCCAGGGGCTCCCGCCACATGGGGTAATCACTCCAATAGGTTTCTGAAAGCCCAGCACCCAAATATGTTGAGTAAATATTAAAGGGGAGTCCCAACAAAATGAGCTTGTTGGTTGCCTTGAAAACTGAAGTTATAAATTCTAATCTAAGAAGTAAATTTAACATTAACATTCAATTCCAGCTATCCGTTCTACATGCTAGGACTCCATGGAAGGATGTATTTGTCGAAAGGGTTCTGTAACTTGAGGAGTTTCAAGTTGCTGCCCTGGGATGGACCCTGCAGGGGTGAAGAGAGAGAGAGGCCGGGGTGGCGGCAGCCGGTGCTGACCGAGCTCAGCGTGCTCACGGGGCCTGTGGAGCAGGCGATGGCCTCACTGGTGAGTTAATCAGTCTGTCAAACTGGAAATGCACCCCTTTAAATTATGGGGGGGGGTGGGGGAACTGTTAAAAGCACCAGCTTCGGGCGCCTGGGTGGCTCAGTCGTTAAGCGTCTGCCTTCAGCTCAGGTCATGATCCCAGGGTCCTGGGATCGAGCCCCGCATCGGGCTCCCTGCTCAGCGGGAAGCCTGCTTCTCCCTCTCCCACTCCCCCTGCTTGTGTTCCCTGTCTCGGTGTGTCTCTCTGTCAAATAAATAAAATCTTTAAAAAAAAAAAAAGCGCCGGCTTTATAATCTCGTCTTGCCGGAATCATCTCCCTTTATCCAATGACGTTTCCTAAGAGCAGAGAGCGCTGAAGAGTTCGAGGTGGCAGAACGGAAAGGAGAGAGCAGAGGTCGGCCACAGACTGCTCATCTAGAATGGGGGGGTTTCTAAGGCAGCTCTCGGGCCAGGGGCTGTCCGGTTCCCCGGGGTGGATCCCACAGCCAGGTGCTTCCTGCCCCCCCGGCCCCCTGAATGTGAGGCGTGGTCTGGGACTTCGCCAGCACAATCTGACGTCTTCCTCCGTGATCCAGCCCTGTGGGTCCCTCCGGAACCCACACCTCCCCGGCTCCCGCTGCCATGAGGGGGCAACACGCACCAGACTTGTACATCAGGAAGTCAGAGTACACGGTGAAGGCCGCCTCTACCGGGCCGTTCTTGTAGATCTCTGCCATGATCTCCTTCTCGCTACTGGACATGCTGTAGGAACTGCATCCTGGCAAATGAACCAGCCGGGGGGGGGGGGGGGGGGGTGAGACGTGCCCCCCGCAGCTCCATCTGTCAGCTCTTCACTGACTTATGGGGAGCTGCCAGGTGAAGACTGCGTTTGGGGACTCGTCCAGCCCAGGGGCCTGGGAAGGCTTCCCTGGGGAGGAATGAATGATGGCGCCCGACCGGGAAGCAGAGATTGGGGTGGCGGGGCACAGCTCTGAGGTGGGAGGGGCGGTGAGCACGAGACCCCAGAGGAAGGGCAGAGTGGTGCCCAGAAGGTTCTAGGCCAGATCACTCCCCTGTAAAACGAGGGGCCTGGTCCCTCCAACCCTAAGGGCCTGTGACCAACACATCGGGGATCCTGGGGCCGGATTCGGCACGGAGACAGGCAGAAAACGCAGTGTATTGCTCCCGCTGACAAGACAGTCAGTCACGACCTTCCTTTCTCCCTCCTGTGTTCCTGACTCCAAGGGTCGACTGCCCCGGCCTCTCCCTTCCTCCGGCTCGGGAAGGGTGTCAGCGGGTCCCCGGCCCCGGGGTGCTGGGAGCGCGGGCCCCACCTTACCATAGTGCTTGTCTTCTTTGTAGGACGGGGTGTAGCCGGGCTCGCAGATCTTGCTGCACTTGGGGGTATCCCCCTCCCCTGTGCATGGGGGCCGGGAGCCGTTCACGTGGTGCTCACAGGGAGGGATGGAGTAGGGTCTGCAGCCTGGGGGGCCAAGTAGAAAGGAAGGGATCAGCTGCCAGTCTCTTCAGAAGCCCTCTGGGGGCACAAGGGCAGCACCGACGGGAACAGGAGGTCAAAGGTGCAGCACGAACTCCGGCGCTAAGCCTGCCCTGTTCTGCCCTGGAGGGGACCGCCTGTTTCTACCGGATTGTTCAGCCTCCTGCCCTCAACGCTCAACCCGCACTTTATAATGCAAGTGGAGACCATTCTTCCTCGTGGCTTATAAAATCCAGCTAGCCAGAGAGAGGCTGAGGGCAGACACTCACCTACATGAGATTCATAGAGCCCACCGGAAACCAGGCCTTGTTTTGTCCAGAAGTTCCAAGCTTCAGCAGGAAAGCCCCCATTACAGCTAAGAAAAGAGCCACTCTTTAAATTCACTGTGAGAGAACTTCTAGCTGCTCCCAGGCCACACCACCTGCTGCCAAGGCCCCAGGGTCGCTTACGGATCCACCAGGGCCTTCAGCAGCTAGCCCAATAGCTCTCCCGGGTCCCCAAGAAGCCCACTTCACCCTCCCTGGGATAGTCACCTCTTCCGGGGAATCGCCCCAGCTCCTGGGCCTGCCCACCACCCTCCCCAACAAGACAGAAGGACCCCCGTGTTCATGTCTGCCCCAAACCAGGCCGTCACACAGATTCTCAATCAGCATGCTGCAATCCCCTGGTGTTTTAATACACACGACGCTAATGCTGGGAACTGGGCAGATCGGAATGAGGTGAGGCCTGGACGCTTTTATTTAACTCCCAGGTATTTCTACTCCGTAGCCATATCCGAGAACCATGGCTGTAAAACCAAGGCCAGAGCTGGCAGAAAAGCAGGCACCCACAGTGGGAATTTAGGTTCTGTGAGCAAGCTGGGGGCCCATCATTCTTCGTTACAGAAACGAGGCCCCATTACATTTCCCTGAGCAAGGAAAGGGAACAAGGATGACAAAAACCAGGCCAGAGATGAGAAGTTCAGCCGCATGCTCTGAGACCATCTCTGGTGTGCTCGCACCGAACCACCCACACCCAGCGCTGCGGGCTCCGCCTGGCTTCAGGCGGCTCCCGGAAGGTAGCAGTCACACCGGGGCCTGCTTCCAGACTCCCCCCGCCAGCTGTCTCCGCAAAGGACCGTCTGCTGACCTGGAGTACCACTCCTGTCCTCAGGGAGGCCTCAGCCTGGGGGCTCCAGGTGCCATCCCCAGGGGCCACTTCTGACTCACCCGTCCCCACACTGGTCGCCACAGCACGTGAGCAGGTCCTCGGCAGACACCTCCACGTTGACGTGCCCATTGGTGCGGATGCAGATCCGGTCAGAAATGGCTTCCACGGCCCCAAATGCCTGCGGAAACAAGCCCCACACAGGTGAGCCCCACTCCTGGGCCGTGGGCTCTGCCAGCCACCCCAGCGGAGGACCGCAATGGACGCCTCAGACCTTCTTGGGGGCTAGTCTCCCCCCATGTCAGTGAGGGTCCTGGCGCTCGTGTGTGTCTTTAAAGCGGGAGACCAGTCCGCCCCAAATCTACGTGTGCACTCAAGTTCGTTTCTAAAACGTGGGTTGTTGTTAACATAAAACAGCTCATACAGAGGACAAATACTGTATGATTTTACTAACATGAGGTATCTAGGCTGGTCGGTAAAAGACAGAAAGTAGAAGGGTGGTTGCTGGGGGACTGGGGAGGGGGGATTAGTGTTTAATGGGGACAGTTTCCATTCTTACAAGATGGTAAGAGCTCTGTGGATGGACCCCGGTGACCACATTTCCGATAACGTGAATGTACTTAATGCCACCGAACTGCGCTTAAACATGACTAAGACGGTTAAATTTATACCATGTGTACTTTACCACAGTTAGAAACTAAATTAAGACAGCTCATTGATACGGATGGGATACGTCTTCATGAAGCAGAGCAGAGCTCAAAACTACTGGTATCTGCTGACAGCCTGGGACAGCGTGTCCAACAGGGAAGTAAAAACAGCTTCACCACCCACACACATGCCATACCCAGACTCCATGCAGAGTGCTTTGCACATCGACTCTTCCACCTAGTTCTTGCAATAACTCATGACCACAGGGATCTTCATGATTTGTATGTTGACAGAAATGGAGACTCAGCAAGTTTACTAACTTCCCTAGTCACTCACGGCTGGTCGGACAAGTGCCCCCTGCCCCCCATGCTCGGGCCCCTCCCAGTCAGCAGGGCCTCACCCAGCAGGATCCACAGGAGCCCTGGTCTCGGATCTCTTTGATGGTCGGGCAGTTAGGCCACTGTTCCCGGGAATCGAAGCTTTCAGGCAGAATCATGTTCTCGGCAAACCAAGTTCTAGATAAAGGAAGGCCTCCATGACAAACTTGCTGAGCAGGGAGCCCGACGCAGGGCTCGATCCCAAGACCCCGGGATCACGACCTAAGCCGAAAGCAGACGCTCAACCGAGCCACCCAGGCATCCCCAAACTCTCATCTTACAACCCTCCCCCGTCCCCGTAGACATCAGCGACTGCCGGCTGGGCCATCACGTGGAAAGGGAGGCACAGGAAGGACAAGCTGAAGGTGACATCTGCAGAGATGTCCCCTGGGAACTTTACACAACCAAACCAAACCAAGAACTCTACCGTTCAACACATCTTCTCGTTCCCTGTGCTTCCTTCTAGTCTTATTTTATGGGATATTTTTCAGGAGTTTGGCCACAAGATCCATATCACTGTGTTTCTTACTCCCCTCACCCCATCCCGGGTCTGCCCAGGGTCCTCACAACATTTTTAATATCTTCCCCGTTGTGTGATGTCCCATAACTACTCCGTCCACATTGGCAGATATTTCTAATGCTTCCTATAAGAGTAGTATCTACTTGAAAACGCCCCATTACAGAATTCTCTAGAAAAAATGAAACATCAATGGCAGATCAGATGGCTTTTCTTAGAGTCTCCTTCAATTACTCAAGACTGGATCCAGCCAGGTCATACAGGACAGAGCCAGGGCCTGCCCACTGGCCTCTGAGACATGTCGAGAAGCACAGTAGGAAACACGGCACCGGGGGCTGAGCCCTGGCAGGCAGAGTCTCGCAGCTCTGGGAGAAGGGAGGCTTCTGGATGCCAAGGAGGCCTTCTTACTCCCTCTTTCCCGCGGTCCCAAACACACCCCTGCTGTTCATATGGCAGCATGGCAGGGGCAGCCCTGTATCCACCCCCAGGCAGCAGGCACTCACCTCTGGGGCAGCTTCGGCCCACCCAGGAAGGTGCCACATAGCTTCCTCAGGTAGCTCGGGTCCACATTGTGGAAGTTGTGTCCAGCCTGGAAGAGAGCCCCAGCCACAGCAGTCAACAGAGGGGGTGTCCAGGGCTGGGGGTAGATGAAGGCCTGACAAGGCCAGGGGTCCCAACCAGCTCAGCAGAGCAAGGGGACTTGGGGCATTGCTATAGAACAAATGCATCCCCCCAAATTCATGTTGAAACCTAACCCTCAAGGTGATGGTACCTGGAGGTGGGGCCTTTGGGAGGTGATTTGGTCACGAGGGTGCAGCCCTCATGAACGGGATTAGTGCCCTTCTAGGAGCCCCAGGAGAGCTGGCTTGCCCCTCCCAGTAAGGGAGGCCCTCCCTAGAACCCAGCCATGCCGGCACCCTGAAACTGTACTTCCAGCCTCCAGAACTGTAAGCGATGCATTTCTACTTATGCACCACCCAATCTGTGGTACTTTGTTACAGCAGTGTGGACGGACTGAGACAGGCACCCCTCACAGCAAGCGAGGCCCCGTCCCGAGGGAGCCACCCGGGGCGGGGGGGAGCAGGCGGGCACGCAGCTCCCAGACCACTGGGGATCTTCTCTGATCTGCTACATTTGCTGAGGTCAAGAGAAACCCTCTGCAGCCCTGAACATGGCTCATTCTTCGTCTCTTTATTCTTGCAGTCCCAGGCCTCGGGGGCTGGGCAGAAGCAAGGAGCTGTCCGATGAGCCTTAACAATTACCATGGTGGGGGAGCAAGGTTCAGGGTCCTCCTGGCTGTGAGCACTTCCAGAGCTCGTTTAGCCCCCATGCACCACCACGCACGCGTGCGCAGGGGGCAAGGAGCGGGCAGGAGGTTTGCACGGTCCGCAGTGGCCACGACTCTCAATCAGGCCCACTCTCCGGGACAGATGGCCCTCTGGGCCACGGCTGCAGCAACCACCCTCGGGAGGCGGAACGCACCAACCGAACCCCTGCGGCAGGGGCGCGCACAGAAGTGGCGGTCCCCACAGCTCACCTTCCACGTAGTGTTACGTCTGTTAATGTAGCTGACCAGCTCATCCGACAGCGGCTGGAAAGGCGGCCTGCTCTGGGCACCAGTCAGCACCACCAGGCAGCCAAGGGTGGCCAAGAGCTGCCACATTTTGGAAGCTGGATCTTCGATTCACCTAGAAAAGACATCAGGATACTTCAGTTCAAGTACGTAACATACACAGGGGTGCCATCTCAGGCAGCATGGTTCTGGGGCCAGAAACAACTCAGGGGCTCCATTTCTCGGTCTCCTCTTCGGAAATGTGTGGGTGTGGGGGGGGCAGAGAGCCCTCGAAGACCAACAGTGCCCCTGGGCTCCCAGGCCCCGTCTCAGCAAAGTCCCAATCTGTGCCCATAGCACACAGGGCCGTGCTGTGGACTGAATGTTTGTCCACCCCAGCCCCCCACCCAAATTCATGTGATGGGATTAGGAGGTGGGGCCTTTGGGGGGGTGATTCGTCATGAGGATGGGACCAGTGTTCTCATCAAAGAGACCCCAGGGAGCTCGCTCTCACCTTCTGCCATGGGAGCACACAGCCAGAAGGGGACCCTCACCTGACCGTGCCGGCACCCTGGCCTCAGACTCCCACACTGGGTCCCAAACTGAGAAACTTCTGCTTAGCAGCCACCCCGTCTGTACTGTTCTGTCAGGAGCCGCCCAGGGGGCTAAGTTGGGCTGTGTCCGCGTGTCCTCCAGATGCCCGGGGCCGGGACAGAGCAAGCTGCGGGCAGCTGGGCCTCCTGGGCGCCCCCCCGGCCGTTCTCAAGCCGGGCTCACCGTCTGATGGCGCTGCTCACTGGGTGGCTGGCGGCTATCTCAGGAGCTGCGGGGCTGGGGCCGGCACAGCCCTGCTGTCCGTCAGAAGCCCAGGGCCCCAGGCCCCAGGCCCCAGGCAGCACGGACGCCTGCATCCGCAACCCATCAACAGACCCAGATCTTCGGGCTAAACGGGGGTTCAGGGCCCTCCCTGCTGTCGCCCAACTGCCTCTCCCTGGGTTTGTCGAGCCAAGTTTGAGACTCTTCCAGGTTCGTGCTCTGAGACAGGAAACAGTCTTGGGTGATTAGGTCCCAAGTGGAGGACCACTGAGATAAGAAAAACGCGAAAGAGAATCTACTTCCCCAGCCACACTCGGGGCATAAGACAAGCCAACAGAGGCCAACGAAGCTCAGTAGCACCAGGGGACAGAGCCAGTCTGGCCAGCGGCACAAGTCCGGGACGTTCTCTGGTTTTTCCAGTTTTTCCAGACGGGTCTTTCCAGGAAGGGAAGCCATCACACCAGTCCTTAGATCTCAGACTGGCTTGCAAGTCAGACCAGCCCCGCCTCTGAACCATGCTCTTAGGCAAGGAGCTCTAATGAAAGCAAGCAATGTTCCAGGTGCCACAGCCCCGGGGGCCTTGTGGGACACCTGTGTGGGGAGCAGGGGTGGAAGGGGGAGGGTTTCCTGTCCCTGACCCCAGCGGCTTCCAGAGGGACCCACCTCCTCCCAGGACACAGGGTTCCCAAAGATGCACTGAGCATGCAGCCTCCCACAGTGAATTACAGTTGAGGCAAGACTTAAACTTGACTGCTGCTTAAGCCAACAATTCATCCCAAAGAATAAAGACGTGACAACAGCAAACAGTTCTGGAAAAGAGCACGGATGGAGGCCTGCCCTCTGGGGTAGTCAACATATTATAAAACCCTGGCTGACACTGGCCCAGGAACAGTCTGATCAACAAAACAGACCACTCTCCATGGGGGGATTTAGCTTTCGTGGCACAGGTGGGAGGGGCAACGGCCCGTTTCAGTGGATGACATTTCGAAAAACACAGTAAGGCTGAATCTTTACACAGGAAGTGTTACACGGAACAGGGATCTTAAGTAAAAACAAGCTGTACGAAGAAAACAGTAAATGCACTTTAAAAAACTGTAGTATCAGAGTGAGAACCATCTACGATTGACAAACAGAACTTTAAAGGGACAGTGCTTGATTACAGGAAAATAAAGCCTCTTTTTCTAGAAAAACAAAACAAGATAAAAAGTGGCAAACTGACAAAACAGTACTCCCATATACTTAAAGCTTCATTTCCTTAATATGCAAAAGGCGCTTAAAAACCTGAATAAAACCAGAATAGAGAAATGGCAAAAGGACACACAATGAATTTATAGAAAAAGAAGTACAGGGAGCCTGGGGGGCTCAGTCAAGCGTCTGCCTTCGGCTCAGGTCATGATCCCAGGGTCCTGGGATCGAGCCCCACATTGGGCTCCACACTCAGTGGGAAGCCTGCTTCTCCCTCTGCCTCTGTCTCTCTCCATCTCTCATGAATAAATAAAATCTTAAAAAAAAAAAAACAAAACTACAAATGGCCATCAGATATCAAAAGATACTCAAGTAGTTGAGATTAAATGAAGGACTTGCAAAGGCTGGGCAGCTGGCTGGTTCCTGGCGGCGGTCAGACGTGGGGAGGCAGAAACGCTGGGCTGCTGAACCCCGGCGGTAAGCACAATCATGGAGACGATACCCGGGCCATTTCTATAAATTTTTCGATCTGTACGCCCTTTGGCTCAGCAATTTGACATTTAGAAATTTATCCTACTGGCCTCAAATTCAAAGATACAGGTATACAGATGTTTACTAAATATTCTCTGTATAACGAGAGACCAGAAACAAAGCCAAGTGTCTAATAACAGAATAACTGTTATGTTACAGTAAATGATTAACAGAACAGAAAGCGGCCATTCAAAATGAACTAGGTGAAGTGAATCATACTGTACGGATGAAGTAAATATGCCCAAGATACATGTAAGTGGGAAAAAAGCAAGTAGCAGATGAGTCAATGGTAAGCATGTGAGCCCATGAAGCAATGTACATGCCTATTACCGTTACCACATGCAAAACATCAAAAAAAACCCAAAAACGTGAAAAGTAGTATGTGTGGCAGGGAGACTTATTTTTCACTATCTTTTTTTAAAAAATTAAATGAACATATTATATTCAAAGTTTTGCTCTTTTAGGAAGAAGAGTAGCTAGGGCTACCCAAAACCCTGAGCTCCCAAATGTACTTCCAGTTGATTCCTAGTCAAAGTGAAGCGTTCTCCTAGTGACTTTCGGCTCAAAACACTTAACCTGGGTGCCTGGGTGGCTCAGTCGGATAAACGTCTGCCTTCGGCTCGGGTCGTGATCCCGGGGTCCTGGAATCGAGTCCCGCATCAGGCTCCTTGCTCTGCGGGGAGCCTGCTTCTCCCTCTCCTCCCCACTTGTGCTCTCTCTCACTATCTCTGTCTCTCTCTCTCTCAAATAAATAAATAAAATCTAAAAAGAAAATTAAAAAAAAAAAACCCACTTAATCTTCTTGTTTTCAGTGACTCACGGGGAGGCTGGTGCTCCCATGACCACGTCATGGACCCACATGGTCTCCCAACTGTTAGGTAAATGTCTCGCTGTGTCCTCAGACGGTGGAAGGAGCAAGGGAGCTGAGGTCTCTCTCATAACATCTTCTGAGCAAAGAAGCAAAGCAGTCGGGTTCCCTTTCTTTATCTGGACACCCTCCGACTTACACTGGGCGCCTCCACATTTTCCCACGATAGGAGAACCTAGCGGGCGAACACTGGAGGGTACGCTCTGGGCACATAGGTGTTCAGACCCATGCCAGGAGGGCCAGGCCTGCTGACAAGCCCGCTTGAATCACACCTGGGAGGGTCGCCCTCCCCGGCTTTCACCGTGACCTGTGGGAACGTGGCGGGGTGCTAAGGCAGCCCCATGTGAATGCTCCCTACAGGTCATAGAGGGCCATCCCCAGGTGACGCCCGGGGGCACTGCCACCTGCTGAGATGTTAAATCATGAGCAAGTGGAGAATGGGAGCAATTCCATGATAACATGGACTTGAAACAAGCTTTCTCTGGTTTTTCTGGTGGCAGAGAACACAGGCACCACCCATTTCCCAGACGGTTCTCCGTTTCTGGGCCAAGGGCTGCCATGGCCACAGCCAGGCCAACTTCTGAGGCCTGCCAGGCCCCCGCAAGTGAGACTTTCATGCACTTGCCCTTCTTCTCTTGGTTCCACAGGTCCTCCTCCGTACTTCCTGTCAACGTCGTTCTCCCCATCATAACCCTGCGTCAGGGAGACCAGGGGCCCCAGCGAATTGCAGAGCCATGAGCCTGGAGGGCGGGAGCTCAGCTTGAACCACTAACTAAAAGCCCCCCTAGCACTGAGCACTTGGACAACTCGTCCTTTCAGCCCAGCATCCCAGGGCTGTGGCGTTTGGGAGTAAGTCTGGATTGGGGTTCAGGTAGTGAACAGCTGCTGTAGCCTATGGCGAGGACGAGCACTGGGCTTGGAGTCAGGAGACCTGGGTTCGGATCTTCCGCTTACTAACTGTACACCGTTGAGTACCAACCTGCACTGAGCCTCAGTGTCACCAGCTGTAAAATAGGGCTGATGACCTTTCATATCTCCAGGTGGAAGTCCAGGGCTCCACGACGGCACCTGCTCTATAGTAAGAAAGCGGCGAAGGGCTGCTCGCTTGGGCACCCTCCATCCCCAGGTGCCACCCACCACCCTCCTTTCTCCCCTCCCTCCCCCCGCCTCCCCCCACTGCTAGCCTGTGCCAAGTAACTCCAGTCCACTCCAGACCTGTCCACAGTACCTACCTCTACATCATAAGAGTCTGAATTAAAAATGAGGTTTGAACCTCAACTGACCTCCAACTGGGCTTCCATTTTTAGAGCCCAGGAGACTGCTGAGCTTTCTCTGGCTAGAAGGGACAGACGCAGATATCCCGCGTCTTCCTGCATTCGCAGGAACCGTGCGCAGCGGACCAGCGACAGCAACTGGCTAACGCAAGCTGTGCGCCCAGCAAGCTGGCCGTGGGTCCTACGGCCTTTGCTGGAAACACAACCAGCTTTCGCTTCCCCTCTTTGGGGCAAACACTTCCCGTTTTCTCAGTTTTGTGTTTTGTGGTTTTTTTTAATTACAGGACAGAATGAACAGAAAGTCCTTATTCTGTGAGAAAAGAAGGGCCCAAACTGGGTAAGAAGAGTGCAAGTCACCAGACCCGCTTGCAGGGCGTGGACACCGTGGAGGGAACAGCTGTGGGCAGATGGTACTTCCAGCCGTCAGGCAGCTGGTCTTCCTGGGTGGACCCCTCTGGCCCT